GCCATCACGGACTACTACCCACCCCCCAACCACAAACAACCCCACTGTGTAGGGCGTCATACCGCTCTACACCATGAATATGCCCAAAGTGAAGGGCGTTAAACCGCTCAGCAGGGGCTTTGGACTCACGGTACCGTACTCACGGAATACCGCTTTTGTAGTAGTGTTGTATAATGCAGCACAATATCACCGCTTGGAGAAGACGGATGTCCAGGGCGGGTGCGGGGGAAGGGGGAGGGGCGAGGACAGCGAGTGGAGGGGGTGAGGCAAGGACAGGGGAATAATGATGGAGTACCTCAAAATTTGATGCAAAAACGCATGATCGCACCGGCTCGCCTGGTGCGTTCCAGCCTGGGTTTTACCCTGGTACCTGGAACGGGACAATTGATTTGCCAGAAAAATTTCAGCGGCAGTAATTAAAAGTAGTTAGTAGTTTCGAATATTTCACAGCCTTGCCTTAACTAATTTTAGCGCGCCGTTTTCGTTATTTTTACGCTGAATAGAACAGGATTTCTTGGTTTTCTAATCGCAGTTATTAAGCGTTGAAAAGCCGTCTGCTGATGAGGTTCTTCTTCAGTGGCTTTTTTATTCCCTATTTCCATGTCAGTATCGTCTATCCCATGTTGTGTTTTTAATACCATATGCGTTAATTGAAGGTGAAAGCGGTCAAGAAGACGAAGACAGCCCAGAATTTGGGCACGCCGACCAACATAGCAGCAGCATACAGGAGCGGATCGTTATTGATAAGAGTTCGGTGGAAGAAGCGAAAAAATCAAAAGAAAAAGCGAAGCAACTGGAAAACTTATGTATCGATGAGAAGGTTGAGCACTCATACAATTTTTTGGATTAATTTTTTGCAATCTGCGCATGGAATAGTCTTTGGTTTTTTAATGTTTTTTTGGCATGCATTGGAACGTATCAGGATTGCCTGTGTGATCACGCGTTTTTACATAATTCTGTCCTGTAGAGAGGTTGCCTACAATGCTGTGGCGTGATTATGGTATTGCAGTTTGCACATTTGATGCTTCTCTACGTAAAGTCCCTGCCTAAAGGTTCATCTTGCGCCTAATGGCCCTGCCAAATTCAGATTTAAGCTCAGGCTGGAATGTAACTTGATGGCCACAAAAAATATAAAACATTCATTTGCCCCAGCAGTTTTTTCAGCGATGTAAATGAATGATTTAGAAGCAATGCTTAGGCTTGGCTCTCTTTTGTCTGGTGGTCCATCTGTTCAAAGTTAAGCTGACATTAGAACAAGGGATCCCGGGTATGGTCCAGCGCAGTTGTCCTTCGACTAAGCAAACATATCCTCAGTAACTAGTCGTATCAGGCATTTTTACACCAATAGTCTGGGTAATTCTCCATTTTTTGCACTTTTTTTTTTCAGCAGATTGATGAAAAAGTGGTGGACGAAGTTGCAGTGGAAGAGGAAGATGATGAGTGGGAATCACTATCTGTTGATCTTCGGGAATCCAATATTCACAGTTCAGTGATTCATACAGCTGCGGATTTTTACAGCTTGGCAAGTTTATTCAGTTAAATTTTTATCTTATCACCAGGCCATCCGTTGTTTATTATGCCGTGAAATCGCAAGACTCTATAATTCTTATAATTATGGCCACGGAAACATCAGATTGCAGGTAACATGCCATAACCTGTACCTGGCAGAGGGTCGCATTTACACATTCTAGATAGGCTAGTCACCTGTATAGGATATTGCTCGTTACCTGTACAAGACGCTGCTCGTTATTTGTATAGACCGCCCACCCTCTCGCACTGTAGCGCTTCCACTCCGTCTTTCAGCTGTCGCTAGGCTCAGCTTTGTTCCGCTCCATTGTCTGCGCCCCTTCCTCCCCCTTCTGAATATTACTGTTTGGTGAGTCAGTGACTCATCAATACAGGTAATCTACTGCAAATGTTCAAATACTGCATCCAGAAACGACCGTTACTTGTATAAGTGGCACCGTTGGGAAGTGTGCGTTACTCGAACATTATACGAGCAACACTGGGTGCTTACTTATATCAGTTGCTGCTACACGAACGTTGTTGACATATTATCTGAAATCTGATTTTTTCGTGGTGGCAGTGCCGTGTTTTTGTTTGCGTGAAAAGCTTGGTAAAGAAACACCGTGTGTGTTTTCACGAAACTTTACAAAACTGAACAAGCATTTAGACTACAACTTGCTCCTCCCCCCCCCCCCCCCCCCCCCCCCCCCCCCC